TAAGTCCTTTCGTGTGCTCCAAACCTCCCGAACGGCCGGTATTCGTATGCTTTCGTGGAGGCAGCCCGGCGTTCCGTTGTTTCAGCAGTGTTCGGCAGAAAAAGTGTCCGTTTTTAGTTCCATAGAAATAGAGCCAAACACCGCTGGGCTTTCGCATGGTTTAAAATGGCCGCTGCCTTGTGGTCGACATACGAACGACGACCACCCTGAATTCGGTTTAATTGAGAAGTGTCTGCAGTTAACCACAACGTTCTAATTGGGATCAATAGGTTAACCAGCAGCACACTTCTCTCTTGGGTGGCCGTCCGTTCGGTAGGTTTGTTCGGGAAAAACAGTCATTCGTATGGCTGGGCTATAGAAACAGCCATTTACACGAAAGGGGGCAGAAATAGACGAATCCACCTGAAATAAGCAGACAGATGGTTCTGTCACACTATCTATCTATCTCTATCTATCTATCTATCTATCCATCTATATATCTATCTATCTATCTAGTTATAAAATATTTTTACAGCTCTCATTGTTTTTCTCGCTATCGGTTACTTAATCTGTTGACCAAATGGTAGGAACATGCTCCCATTGTTATATTGCATGACATATACATACTATTGTATTAATTACTAAAAACTGGGTTTGTCCAAAATTCACTAATTTCACCATTGTAAGAAAAGCATGTCACCCCATCCTCCCCCATGCTACGGGACTTTAATCACTGAGCCACCCCCCAATAAAATTAAATTGCCCTACCTACCCCTACCTAGCCCTCTCCCCCTAATAATAGCCAGAGGGGGCGATTACACAATACATACTTACCATCAGAAGTCTTCTTTCTTCGAATTCTTCTTACCTTCAGCACCAAAAAAGGCCAAATTAAAATCCATAATTCCCTCTAATTAAATAAAAAGTGTAAAATCTGGACAATGTGAATTCCGTGAACGGTATGTGGATTTTGCAGTCTGAATGGCTCTGTAAAGCAGCAGACAGTTTCTCCCCATTCGGTGTGGGACCATTCAGCTTTTAGTGACTAACCTGGAATGTATATATTTTGCAGGACACCGATTGGTCAATTTTCATCCTTTATTTGTTCTTCTGATTTGGTTTCTGAGTTGAAATCTCGGTTCCAAAATTCTGCCGAGCCGAACCAACATATGGCTGATATTTAAGAATACTAAAAAATATTCTACTTTCTGGAAAAATGGTTCAGCCGTGATTAATTTTCTGGACGTGTACAAGTCTAATCTATTATATATTTAATAGTAAATGCATTATTTTGGCAAATGGCAACAAAACGTGATGATAGATCTATTCCAAAAAAGATCATTTTATTGTAGAAGTTGAAACAAGTCGGAATTATAACATTTGTAAGCAAACGTGAAGAAAAATGATGAAAGCAAACATTTTTATTTACTATCCAGTGACGGGCGTTAATCTGAAAACTGATTTTGTGATATTAAAGTGAAAATATCTGCGGTGGACTTTTTTTCTCAGCTATATTTGGAAGTTGGATATATTGGGCAGCAGTTTGCTAATTAGCTCTTTTAATTCTCAATGTTTCATTGTTTAGTAAATAAACTCCAGTCGGATTTTACACAGTCTGCTTTAGTACCATTTTCCAGTACATCAGCCCCCAATAGTCTTGACTCAGCTTCCCCTACAATGCTGTCCAGCTCAGCAAGATGATCAGACACGGAAAATGTTCACGCACAGATGTATTTGCTTTGCAGCTCTCACAGCTGTCATTCAGTTTTGGAGACGAGGGAAACAAACTCGTTAAGAGTTTAAAAGCTCTGTTATCTCCTCCTGAAAAGACGCCTCATAGAATCATTTACCTCATCCTTCAGGATGTGTTAGCTTAATGAGATTCTGGGTTAAATGTGGCTGATTTAAAGGACCGGTTACAAAAATATTAAAATATGTCTGTCTGTCTGTCTACAAATCTCTTTATTCTTAAATTATGTGAGGAAAACAGGTATAGTTCAAGAAAAGGAAGAAAACGCTGGTTTTAAATTTTTTACGTATATTTACAGTTCTGAAAAGTTAGGATAGTTTTGTATTTTCTGATATCATACTCCAATGTCTGCGTCTGTGATATATCATTATATATTTAAAATATATTTTGTTCTGTTAATACAATGTGAATAAGTCTGTTAGCATTGTATACATTAAATACAAATAAAAATTTACCTGCATATAATCACATGGGTGTATTTTTAATGAATTATCTACAGCTTCCAAGGAGAGTCTGAGATCCCAATCTATAGTATTCCATTCAGTCCTTCTTAGATTAAGATGACAAGAATGTGTAAATGACATCACACGTGTGTTAAAGTACCATCCATGGTTGAGCCCAATATTTTCTGTGACATTTCTGATTTCTTATTTGATTAAAAACATTGAATGAAATGCTGGGTCACAGCCACATTGCGCATGCACAATTTATTTAAAGCTCATAAAATGTGATTTAGAACAGGGGGTTATGGGAAATTAGAAACGGAGAGCACAATTATTATGAGATATTGTCAGCTTCCCATTTCTATATGTCATCCAAATGCCTGTCCGGTTAACAATACCTGGAGATAAGATCGTGGTTATGGTGTCAATCTCTGTCGTTGCAGTTCACTTTACAGTATTTCGGTAGATTTGCTAATTTCTACGTTATTTCAAATCAGCAACAAAACACATTGAACAAATAGAAACATAGAAACATAGAATGTGACGGCAGATAAGAACCATTTGGCCCATCTAATCTGCCCAATTTTCTAAATACTTTCATTAGTCCCTAGTCTTATCTTATAGTTAGGATAGCCTTATGCCTATCCCACGCATGCTTAAACTCCTTTACTGTGTTAACCTCTATCACTTCAGCTGGAAGCCTATTCCATGCATCCACTACCCTCTCAGTAAAGTAATACTTCCTGATATTATTTTTAAACCTTTGTCCCTCTAATTTAAGACTATGTCCTCTTGTTGCGGTAGTTTTTCTTCTTTTAAATATAGTCTCTTCCTTTACTGTGTTGATTCCCTTTATATATTTAAATGTTTCTATCATATCCCCCTGTCTCGTCTTTCCTCCAAGTTATACATGTTAAGATCCTTTAACCTTTCCTGGTAAGTTTTATCCTGCAATCCATGAACCAGTTTAGTAGCCCTTCTCTGAACTCTCTCTAAAGTATCAATATCCTTCTGAAGATACGGTCTCCAGTACTGTGTACAATACTCCAAGTGAGGTCTCACCAGTGTTCTGTACAATGGCATGAGCACTTCCCTCTTTCTACTGCTAATACCTCTCCCTATACAACCAAGCATTCTGCTAGCATTTCCTGCTGCTCTATTACATTGTCTGCCTACCTTTAAGTCATCAGAAATAATCACCCCTAAATCCCTTTCCTCAGATGTTGAGGTTAGGACTCTATCAAATATTCTGTACTCTGCCCTTGGGTTTTTACGTCCAAGATGCATTATCTTGCACTTATCCACATTAAATGTCAGTTGCCACAATTCTGACCATTTTTCTAGTTTACCTAAATCATTTGTCATTTGGCTTATCCCTCCTGGAACATCAACCCTGTTACATATCTTAGTATCATCAGCAAAAAGACATGCCTTACCATCAAGACCTTCTGCAATATCACTAATAAAAATATTAAAGAGAATGGGTCCAAGTACAGATCCCTGAGGTATCCCACTGGTGACAAATCCAAGCTTTGAATATATTCCATTAACTACAACCCTCTGTTGCCTGTCACTCAGCCACTGCCTTACCCATTCAACAATATTGGAATCCAAACTTAAAGATTGCAGTTTATTGATGAGCCTTCTATGTGCAACAAAGTCAAAAGCATTATTTATTGCACATTGCACTGGAAGCAAAAGATTTGCCCATTCAGAACACATCTGCTAGACAAAATACAACAATACTATATGTATGAAACACACTCTAACAATAGTCATCTTGAGGAGCTTTGGAGACACAAACAAGCAAACGGCAATACATGAGATATTAAATATTAAAAAAAAGAGTTTTGCGATAGCCATATATGCTTTACAGCTAATAGGTTCTCCATACACTAGGTGTTGATGAACAGGTGAAACATCCCACATTGCCTCCACAGTGAGGGTGTAACATAGGGTGGTGGACCTGGCGGAGAACATTGGCACAGGTGGTTGGACAGCTCACATCCTTCTAGAGACTATGGGCCTCCTGTCAACACGTAAATGACAACGATCCGAGATATTCATATCAGAGCACAAGGGTACACAATCCAGGTTACTTGTATTTACCTTACAAGGTTTTTCCCCCTCCCCTTTTTTGTTTCTACGAACCCTCTCCGTATGCCATTCACACTTTTACCAAAATGAAGGTCATTGGTTCATGGTCTGCACGACTACGGGGAAGAAGATCAGAAGTAAAGCTACATACGGGTTCTTACCTGATACCTACCTGATGCACTTGGCATTACTGTTGTGCTTGAACAAAATGTGATAATATAACTTTGGTAAAGTAAAATACTAGAAGGTCCATGGTTAAAATATGTGAATGGCTGTATTCACCCCCCTTCACCCCTTTTTTTCTGTATCTCCAAAACAAAAATCTTACAATAAAGTACAAATGGAAATAAATATATATATATGTGTATATTACAGATTACAGAACAACGGCTTTACCTGCTTTATTCCCAGAACATCGTTCCAGACAACGGTGTTAAGTAAACCATAAACGCAACAATTAAAGAGCACAAACAAATTGTTCCATGTACACATTGCCCAGTTGTTCGCTTTAAGATGTCATTGATAGAGAAAGGTTGTAACCTTTGTAAAACCCCAAGAAGATATTCAGTAAGCTGAATAATTAAATATAATCAGCAGATGCACGGGAATATTTTCACCTTTAAACAGTAACCATCGAGGCATGTGGAAGAGCAATTAATGAGGCAGCAGAATTATGGCAAGCTAAGGTGTTTTGGTGATGGGCCAGAGGTATAAAATGTGGCCATTCACACATCAGGTTCACTTTGAGCTCTCTCATCCCTCCTGCACATCACATTCCTCTTTCTGCTTTCTCGTATCTTGTCCAGGTAAGTTTCATATATACTCTGTTAAACTGCAGGATTTAGACTAGTAGCCTAAGGTACAACAGCAAAAGCTGATATGAGGAAGGCCGAACTTGATGGCCACATGTCTCTTTTCAGCCTATGTAACTATGTATTTTATGGAGTAAAACACAATGTCTCAATCCATGCCAGGTCCGTGAAAGCTCTCCGGGTCTCTCACAAACTGTTTCTTTTCCTAAATTTATTCACTAAATTCCACATTTTATGGAAATAAATTTCAATGACAAAATTGTGGCTAAAATTGCAACGTTGTCACTATAGAAGTGTCTGAGAATGTTTCCAAATAATCTCATTTTACACTCAGTTTTGATATTCGTTTTGAATTTGCTAATATCACTACATTCAGAATTTAGTAAATAACTTTGCACGTAGATTTTGATGAACTTACGGTAATTGTTTTAATAAAATGGTTGTTCTCAGAGATCATTGCTGTAAAATATTGTTGGTGTAACTTGGTTACAGAAAAGCAAATAGCGTTTTTTTTTACGACAAATCATTGATTTCAAACTGATTTATTAGAATTAAATTGGTTTTTAATAATGGTATATGTTTGGGAAAAAAGAAGATAAGTACTAAGTGAAACCTAGGTGGACGATTTGGGGTAGAATCAAATGTCACAGCAATGTATTCTTCAGTAAATCCATTTAATTTAGTTCAGGCTTCTCAGAATCCAGCCCCTCAGATACGTATAATTCTCTGCCATTTATTGCAATTGAAGAATTCTGGGAGTTGTATGTGCAGATATGTGTGATATCCCTGCATTAGCGAACTCGTGTGATGTAGTTGATACATAACATTCTATGGGGTTTATTATTAAGGATACATTTTAATGGGTAGATTTTAACCATTTCATTACTGAATTGTGAAGTACTTATGAAGCAACAAAAATACATAGTGGATTATATACTAATGTGTGAATTGTCATAAACTCAAAGTCAATTTCAAATTTTAGGACAAAATATTTTAACAGTGAGGTGTAGTGATGTCCCGAACTGTTCGGCGAACCGTTCGGGACATCACTAGTGAGGTGTAATAAATGGTCAGGTTCATTAGATCAAATAAACAACACAAAATACAACGTTTTGGCCTCAAAGCCTCAATCATGTCATGACTGGTTGAAACGTTGAATCCCACTGCAAAGCCGATGGATTTTGGGTCTTGAGTGATAATGAGTCGGTAAGGGGACTATCGATACACGTATTCTTATTACAAATGAAAGGACATTTTGCTGTAAATATATTTTTTAAAACTGAGATACCATTTAAAAATATTATTAGCACAACAAATGGACTATTTGTATGCATGATTGGCTAATGCAGCTTTTTATTATTTTTACATCAGACCTGCTCTAAAGGCGCACTTTGCCCAATTCTTTTAACTAAGTACAGCAGAAATATTTCCTTCCCATTTACCATTTACTTCATATGTTCTTGGTGCCCCTTTCATAATTTCGAGGGGTCATTTTAATTGTTGCTTGTAGTCAGTGTCACAAAGTAGGCCGAATGCCCTGATGCCCTGAGTCCATGGATGCCCACAAAGCATCATATTTTTTAATACTTTGTGGTTTTTCTCACAGACGTGTTAGATCGACCCACCTTAAAATGCTGCTGCACATGACACGTTACCATGTTCAAGTAAACAGAATGCTCCATGGCATAGCATTACATTTTAAATGATATTTCAGATTTGAAGTGGGGTGTGCATTTTATTTTATTAATAGGTAAACATGTATTCCAACGTATGTTCCACAGAACAACATTAAAGGAAATACCTGTTATTGTATTATTCATAATGCTGAGAGGTTTTAAACACTCTTTTTTGGTGGGGGTGCCATTTACAGTTATAAAAGAGGTTACTTATCTGTAATCCAGAGTCGAGAGGGTCTTCTCCACCCCTGGGAGATTTTACTAATATTGAGAGTTAGGGTGCATGCACAGCCATCGCCAATCTACACTGAAACCAATACTTCTCTTGGAAGAATACTAATGAGGAAAGGAACCCTCTCGGGTGTCTGATTGATAGCCAGAAGATGTAAGGAAAAAGTGTTATAAAAATGAATTTCTTTTGAAATCCACCTATTTATTTGCTAAATTTCCTTAATCTGATTTTCTTTTGAAATTGACATTTAAAGATAATATGGCTGCAAGGACATGCTCTTAATCCCTAAATAACTTCACCAAGGGATGTGTATATCATTATGTCGTTGGGGAAGCAATAGATGCAAGGTCTGTAAATAAACAAGGATATATCCAGCGTGGTGGATAATTAATTGAGGAAGAGCCAGTAGGTGTACGGGGACATCTGCAGCTTTTAACAATAATCATCCATGTTTGGGAAGGAGCAATTAATGTGGCAGAAGGTTTCTGGAAACGTGCTTAGGTAAGATGGTTTGATGATGGTCCGGTTGTGTATAATATAGCAATTCATCCATCCTGGGCACCACTGGTACATTCAGATCTCCGTTAATCTGGAAAATCCATACTGGAAACCATTTTTTATGATTTCATAGTATAACATGCAGTTTATTAAGCAATTGTTGGTGTAACTTGGTTACAGAAAAGCAAACAGCGGTTTATTTACGACAAATCATTGATTTCAAACTGATTTATTTTCTTTGTGTGCCCACAGCTCCATTTTATAATCTCACAATGGCCTTGTGGATTCAGTGTCTCCCTCTGGCAATCCTGCTCAGTGTGTTGGTACCAAACACCAATGCTTTTGCCACTCAGCACCTGTGTGGATCCCATCTTGTAGATGCCCTGTACATGGTATGTGGGGAGAAAGGTTTCTTCTACTATCCAAAGAGCAGACGAGACCTTGAGGAACCCTCGGGTAAGGACTGGAAACATTTGCTCGAGTTGTTTGAGCTAGAATAGGCAGCAACACACAAGACTATGTGATACAGTTTTCAGAAGTACTTATGGCCTCTCATGGCATGGTCTCTAGTACTGGTGGGTTAGTTTATTATAATAACATCTATAAATTAGCTAAATTAATATTCTTGTAGTCCACAAGTGACCTGCAGACCTGTACACATGGAGAGCCCAGGACACATGCATATAATATACTGTATCACCTGCAGAGATCTCAGTTTTAATTTACATTGTAAGAAAGAAAGAGGTTTTGGCAGTACACTCACGTTTAGACATTTTAAAGAGCTCATGTTATGTTTCAGATCCCTCAGAGGTTTAATGATTTTGACCACTCTACTTGTGTTCAATCAGCGATACTCTTCAAATCTTTTCAGTTATAGGTCACTGAAGATGTACAATCATTATAGTCTGGACCTTTATTTTAAAGCATTAAATAAGGCGTTATACCAAGTTAAACTGAAGATTGCATAAATCCTTACAGCTTAGCACTAGAGGAACAATAGCTGTTATCTCAAGCCTTGGTGGAAACCTGGACATTAAAATATATTTCTTCAATATACTTTTGCAGTGAATGGACTCCAGGACAACAATCTGGACGGGTTGAAGGAGTTCCAGAAGAGAGGCATCGTAGAACAGTGCTGCCAAAGCACCTGCTCTCTGTACACTCTGGAGAGCTACTGTAACCAATAAGACCATGCGAGATCCCAGGACACTTTCATAACGCACCTCGCTCGCAAATAGAAAATGTGAAAATAGCATGATGGCAGGACATGGCTTACCTAAGGACACTCCAATTAAATAAAATATAAGCACACTTGTCTATATATATGTCAGTGTGTGAACTATCCACCTTCCTCATTCTAATACTTAAATGAAACAGCTATAAGCCACATGTATACACAGTGGAATGACTCGATTTCAGCGAATGATGTCAATATGTCCCGAGACGGGCTTTGCTTCTTGTCGTATTTCATTTTCTTAAACTGTGTTACCCATAGGGGATTGCGCCTTTATAGAGATACAGCAGATTGATATCTCTTTAATTGTTTCACAGTTAGGTAATGTTAACTCAGAGATGTTACTGAATGCATTACAGGTGACTGAGAATTTTAAAAAAACGTTCTCTGCTTTTTTTTTGTTAAAAAGAAAAATGATAGAGTGGGTTCATGTGAGGGTATCAGATCAAAACTCCTGGGACTATTTCTAAAGAAAGAGGTGCCAATGAAAATACACAGTGAAAGGGTGCATTGTGAGAAGTGTTTGTTATTTGAATCCTATTATTCTAAAGACAGAGGAGGGAGAAATGGCCATGATGTTATGAAACGCTTTCTTTTGCAATGTTAGTGTCCTGTACCAATGCATACACTCTGGTCAATCTGAATGCAAATAAATTCATGCTAAAGAAAAAAAAAACACTTCTGTTATTATTGAACTGAGCTACTGTGTGTGTAATGTTTTGACGTAGAAATACATTATTGCAAGATTTATACATTGTGGTTCATCGGCAGGCGTTCAGTTACTCTGTTTAGTGGTTTTTTTTCCAGTTCCAACCAACGAGATGCAAGCGAGGGAAAAACACACAGTGCTCTTCTAACAAAGAAAAACTCGTTACTACCAGCAATTTTTCAGTCTGAAGTCAGTGAAATGGTATTTTAAATGTATACAGAAACCGGAGCCCTTCATAGTGCTGTGCAGACTGCTTTGGAAGCAGAGAGGTTAAGAAAGAGTTGAAGGAGGGCATACAGTCTCTGGGATTTAAGAAGGGGTTTATAAGGGGACAAGGGGGTAAACAATGCCAAAAGGCCTTATATCCCATTGTAAGGAACGCAGAGCTGCTTTCTATTAAAGGAGAAGTTATGGCTGGGAGGGGAGGGGGCGACTTGACTTTTGGCTGAAAGCCACTCGCTGTAACCTACCCCCCAAGCCTCCCTATCCCTCTCCGCCCCCCGCGCTTCCTATCCTGAACTGACCTCTTGTTTGGCTTTCTTCCAAAAATAAAACCTCAAACCCCTCGGAAAATCCTTCAACTGAACGCCCCAGTCTGATGGCCCCCTCTCAGTGAGACAGGGGGGTTGGTGGGGTGCTTTCTGCTCCGAGGCAGCTGGGAGCTCTGTGCTTTGTCTCTCTTGCTAAGAGAGGGGGAGAAGGGTTGGAAAGGTTAGGGGAGCGACATTCTGCAGTGCTCTGGGAGGGGTGAATGTAGTTATGGGCTGTGGATATCCGCTGGTCTGATAGGAAAATTGAGGTAAAGAACAATCGTGTGCAGATCCGAAAAAGGTGACTTTAAATTGGGAAACGTTCTTTAAGTCTTCATAAGAAATTCATTAAATTGACAAAAGTCTTCAAGCCCCAAATGGTTAATATGGCGATTTTTAAAAGGGCCTCTTCAGGCCTCATTTGATTAATTGGATTTTCTGTGGGTAGAATGGGTAATGGCTCAATTCTCTTTAAATCTTAAAATAGACAAATATCTGGGGGACGACTTGGTTAAATACAAGGTCCTGTTTTCTGCAATCTTCTGCGAATGTACTAAAAAGTATTATTTCATTTGGTGTGCTGGCTGAGTTTTTGTAATAAATATGTTTAGCCAGCAATGCTTTACTAATGATTTGGCCAATAGAATATAATCTATCTAATAATTAAGCGAAAAGTGTCATTTGTAATGTGTTCATCTAGCAAAGCTGACATGTATTAGGTCCATGTTTTAATATGTGCCCGTGCTAATGTGTAAATAATGCAGCAGTGATGCTTTCTATAGCAGCGGGTCGTACACTACAGATGTCTGATTCTCAGCCAGGTATGTTACAATGTTGGAGAGAGCATTGTGCATCCATATCCCCATGGTTTTTGTGTCTCTCTCTCTCTGTCCTTGTTATGTGTGTTTGTCTATGTCTTCGTAAGGCCTCTCCGTCATTCTTCGGTTTGCTTTTTCTTTCTCCAAACATTGTTGCCACCATCGTGCTCAGGAACTGAAGTGATGTGCTGAGATCATTGGCCACGCTTCTGAAATAACTGCAACTAAAGGCAGCACAACTATATCCTATGCCAGCCTTTTGGCCAACACCGGAGAGAAGTAAAATATAATGGGCCAGTTAGTGAGATCTTCTGATTTGTCAAGTTGGCCTGAGGCCTGTGATCATCATGGACCATCATTTTTTTACCTTATTTGCCCAATGGCCAGTCTGTGCCTAACCAAAGGCCAAATTATATTTTTTTGTAAAGTGCTGTACCAGAAACAGTGGATTGAGATTTGTCTCTAATACTGAGCATGTACTAAGCATAGTACATTAAGTAGGTATCTTTACTGTATAAAACAAGCAGCAAAGTGTAGTTCTCAATAGTTCTCAATCAGTGCAAGCTTCAATGGGTTCAAAATGGCAGACAAAGTCCTACATTTTACATAGTTTGCTATACCACTAAGGGTGCTATTCTGTACAATAGGCACAGTACACTCTTCCAGGTTACACCACAAATCAGTGTCCATCTTCAGGTTCAGCTTCCCACAGCATACAATGTGGTATACTCCTACTGTCTGTCTACTCTCCATAATGTAAATAACAATACGTTTGTTTGAGCGGAGTCCTCTTAACATCTGAAATAGTTGTCTCTTACTGGTGGCTTTGTTCACTTTGTACAGTTATAAATAATAAAAGCAACAATAATTAAAAAGGAGAGTGAGATCCTGAGAAAGGATTGGAGGAACAGTAGAGATGAATTAAAGAACGGTCCGAAGAAATAATGAGATATTTTCACTGGTTAATAGATAAAGATGTACAAGGGTTACAACACACATTCAGAGAAATTTAGACGGGGTGAAGAAGTGTGTGTGTGTGTCAGTATGTCTGTCTGTGTGTGTGTGTGTAAGTATTTCTGTGTGTGTGTTACTATGTCTCTCAGTGTATGTATTTGTGTGTGTCAGTATGTCTGCCAGTGCATGTGTCTGTGTGTCAGTATGTCTGACAGTATATGTAATGTATATGTGTCAGTATGTCTTTCAGTGTTTGTGTCAGTATGTGTGTCAGTATGTGAGTGTATGTATCTGTGTGTGTCAGTGTGTCTGTCAGTGTATGTATTTGTGTGTGTCAGTATGTCTGCTGGTGAATGTGTCTGTGTGTCAGTGTGTCTGACAGTATTTGTGTCATTGTATCATTGTTATCAGTGTTTGTATCTGTGTATCTGCACGTGTGTCAGATACACATACACATATACATACACTGACAGATGGTATGTCTGTCAGTGTATGTGTGTGTGTCAGTATGTCTGTCAGTGTATGTATCAGTATGTCTCTTAGTGTATTTGTTCGTATGTCTGACAGTATAAATGTCTGTGTATCTGTATGTGTGTGTGCATCTTTATGTGTGTATCTGTATGTTATCAGCATGTGTATCTGTAGTATCTGTATGTAGTCAGTGTGTATACCTGTGTGTCTCAGCATCTGCATGTGTGTCCGGTTGTGTATCTATTTGTCTGTATCTCCAAGTGTGTCAGTGTGTATATCTGTGTATCTGCATGTGTTTCAGTGTATCACAGTGTATGTGTGGCAGTGTATGTGCATATGTGCATACATCTCAGCGTTGATACGACAACACTACATACAAACACACACACATATTTTGGTGTTAAATACCAATAATATATAGCACATCCCTAGATTAAAAGAACAACATTACACATAAATGCATGCTTGCATTCAAACGCCACATACAAACACACTCCTACATTCACACAAACATACTCCATAAAAACACATGCTTACACTCAAACACACAAACACTGCTAAGTGCTACATACAACCCTGCAAGCATGGGAAAAGGTAGAGCCCCAACTGTTAAAGGATTGCTGGAGTTGCACAACAGATAGGGATCTCCCTTCTGGCCACCCATGGATTGGGGTGCCCCAAAAAATCTTGCACCAGGGCTATTTCTACTTTAGTCAGTCACTATGTTGGGGTGGAGGGCTTGATTGCATGCAAGGGAGTGAGGGGGGAGGTGATGGCGGCAGGGTCCAGAGGGACCAAGCAAATGCTTGCCGAGGGTCCAATCATTATTAAAGACGGCCCTGATTTTATGATTGAAATGTATTACTCCCTCTTCCTTCTAGAGATCTGTCCAACATCAATGTATAGACACCCACCATGTTAGTGACCTCCATAGTCTCCTCCTTTAAACCATTTGCAGCATTGCCCCCCTAAGTCATTTATTAAACCCCACTTAGTAAGCCCTTTCTTACATACATCATCATTTTATTAACCATTCATAGCTCGACACACAAACATAGGAAATTGAAAAATCCTTTAATTTATTTTTACTGCTGCTACACAACATAAGACATCATTCTACAAGTTATGCTGCTTGGGACTTACTGACATCTGGTTTCAATTAAGAAAAGGGCAATAATCAGATCTCTTACATTAAAGAAGTTAATGAACGAGGAAAAGGGATCTGTACTTTTTTTTAGTAAGAAAAGGTTAATTTCTACTTTTTTTCTGTTTTTCAGAGCATTGTAGGGGTGTGGAAAAGTCCAGATTTCATTGAGAAAGTTAAAAACTTAAGTTGCCCTCCCTAATATGACACATCCCATCTGTCAGAGTCTGAAAGACCAAAACAACACATGTTGGAAGAAACATGCAAGAGAGGGTTAGAAGAACTGATTTTTCCTTAATATAAACGGAACTCACATAAACAGTATTCACCATCCAAGAGATTCTGTTCTCTCTCCAGAAATCCAGGCCGGATCTGCAAAGTACTGTTTACAAATCTTTTGTTTCTCTGCGTTACAGTGCACCCTTAATCTGAAGAAGGGGATTGAAGAGATTAAGTATTTAGAATCAGATACATAGGTGGGGCAGGATCACGGTACTCTAAGTACCATAACCACTTATGTTTCTGGTAAAGGTTGTGTTTCAAGTTATGGACAAAGTCTCCTGTCCCTGACTCTCTTCATACTGTTTATTATTGCTAAAAAGAATTGTTAAATTACTGCATCCTGTGTAATTTTATTGTGAAAACATAACCCATACAAGAACCTGCCTGCTCTGCATATGTCCCAGCTGTCCTTGATTTACCAGAATCAGACCAATTTTGGTCCTACTATCCCAGTTTTGCTTCCTGGTGTCTCAGATGTGGTAACTGTCCCCAGTAAGCAGTGCATCAATAGACATGCATACGCTGTGCTATTAACCAAAGGGATCATGTGCAGACCATGTCAGCAGCGCTCTATACATGGTCTTCCCTGAGTGGGGCCAGCCAGTGTGGCTATCAGTCAGTCTGGTGTACATTCACCATTTGAGCAGACTCCCCATTTTGCAGTTTGATTTGCCATTTTCTCAGGTGGTTCAGTCCCTTGATGCTGTATGTTTTCTGGCTTACCCATCACTGTTCTGGATTCTACCAGGGAACAGTTGGGAGGTATGTGCTGCGTGAAAACATGGTGTATGCACAAGTAACTTCTGTGAGCTCTCCCATAGCTGTCTCTGAATGAGT